CAAGTATAAATGTTAGCTGTGGCTCGGTTCACATGCTTTTAAAAAAGATTCCCAGTGCGCGAGGAGAGTTGGTTGTATTGTATTAGCAGTGGATTTAGTTCCTTGATTGTTCTCAGGATTGATCAAAGAAGAAGATTGTTGATCTTTTTTCATTTGGGAAAACCAGTCTTATTTTTTAAGTCAAGAAATATTTTTTGAGCACTTACTATGTAGAAGTAACCATGGTAGATGCTGTGGGGATACAAATATATGGATCCTGTCTTCAAGGGACAGGATATAGTAAGAAGCTGGCATTCTAAGAACAGAAGTAACATAGCTAAATAAGACTATGTAACCAAATGAGACTTTACCTTGTGATAACTTTTGATGCACTGGGAAAATATTTTATAGAGAGATGTTAAATATGTCCTGAGAAACGATACAGAGTGGTAGTTAAGAGGTCAGGCCCTTACTTAATCTGTAAAATGGGTATAAGAGTTTCAGCCTCATGGCTGCATTATCATCATGTTATGTGAGGTACTCAGCTGATGTCTAGAACATGGTAGTTTTCACTAAATGTAGCAATAACTATCACCACTCTTGTTCTCATACAGATTATGCTGATCTCTTTTTGTTCTGAAACCAGTTATGTTTACTTTCTAACGATTTATTTTTTTTTAAAAGATTTATTTATTTTTTTGAGAGAGTGAGAATGAGAGAGAGAGAGCACATGAGAGAGGGGAGGGCCAGAGGGAGAAGCAGGTTCCTCGCTGAGCAGGGAGCCCGATGCGGGACTCGATCCCGAGACTCCAGGATCATGACCTGAGCCGAAGGCAGTTGCTCAACCAACTGAGCCACCCAGGCACCCTCTCATGATTTATTATTACTGCCTCATATAGGCAGGAGAGCACCAGGGCAACAATATCACCTTACTAACAGGATTATGCGCAGCCTCTGCCCAGATCACCAAAGTCCAAGTATATGGACTTGTTCAGAAGTCAGCATGTCTTAAAAGATGTTGTAAAGGTCCCTTAGAAATTGGAAATAATGGGTCTGAGCAATTATGGCTTTCCATAAAAATAGCTTAGCTCCCTTGTTCTTAACCAGGGGAGGTAGCACCCAATTAAAGGGTATTTTAAAATACGTGAGTGTGTTTTAGTGATGCTCTAGCATTCACTGGGAGCAGGACAGTCCTGCTCACTTAAGAATTGTCAGCCCAAATGCTAGAAGTACCCTGTTGAGAAACGTTGGGTAGCTAACATTTTTTTTTTTAAAGATCTTATTGATTTGAGAGAGAGAGAGAGAGTGAGAGAGAGCATGAGAGCAGATTGAGGGACAGAGTAAGAAGCAGAATCCCCACTGAGCAGGGAGCCCAATGCGGGACTCGATCCCGGGACGCAGGATCATGACCTGAGCCGAAGGCAGCCGCTTATCTGACTGAGTCACCTAGGCGCCCCTGCTAACATTTTTTTAAAAAGGATTTTATTTATGCACTTGAGAGAGAGAGCATGAGGGGGGGCGGGGGTGGGCAGATGAGAGGGAGAAGTGGGTTCCCTGCTGAGCAGGTGGCCTGCCACTGGGATAAGAGGCTCAATCCCAGGACCCTGGAATCATGACCCAAGCCCAAGGCAGATGCTCAACTGACTGAGCCCTCCAGGCACCCCTAACATTTTTTAATTTAAAAGGTATTTACATGGAAAACATGAAGTGCAGTGGTTTGTGACAACCATTGTACTTTCCTAGTATGCAGATTAGTCAATATATCAGAAAAACAATAGGATTAAATATGTTCCTGTTATAAAGTTTGACACATTGGTGCTAAGACATACATTCTAGATTCATATAGTTTCCAAAATGAGAGCGTTGTAAGGTATACTAAAAAAGAAGATACAAAGATAAATATGTAGACAGGAGAGCATAGACTGTGGGTTTTTTATTTAAATCAGACTGACCAATTAGGTAGCTCACATTTGGGGAAAAGTAAATAATTCCACCTAAGAGGTAGTGATACCTTAGAGATATATTGCTAATGGTTTCCTAAGGAATGAAGACTATCATCTAAGCAAAGCCTCCTTAATTGAAGAGATCTGTTAAAGCACTCTGAAGAGAAGGTTATTGGTCTTCAGACAGAGAATGCAGGCCAACAGGGTAATTCCAGACTAATCCATAGCCCTAGAGCTCTCCCAGTCCTTGTTGTAGGAGGTGCTGCACCCCCCTTGGAATTCTCTAAGACAGTGTTCGTGATGTGTACTCTGGAGAGTATTTGCATCAAATTCACCTGGGATACTTATTTAAAAATGGAGATCTCCCAGGCTCCCCCTCAGATTTACCCAGTCAGAATCAACAAGGAATCTATGACTTAAGCTCTCTAGATAAATTTGTACACCTGTAAAGTCTGATGACCACCATTCTAAGAAGTAAGTTGGTGTATACAGAGCCTTTCTATAAGTAGTCTTCCTCTGGCCTTAGCAGTGCAGTAAAATCTCAGTGAATTTACTAAAAATTCTAGCTATCCACAGGAGCGCAGACTTCTGAATTATACTGAGGCTTCCTCATGAACTGGCTGGTTAGTGTTCATGACCCACAAGCGAGGACCTAGACCAATTCCATTTCACTCAAAATTGCCGTAAGAGATTGAGGCCAGCTTAGTAAGCAAGCATACCCTTTGGATTCGGTAAACTCTGGATTCCATGATGGGTTGAGGTCCCCTGCACAAGTGATAGAAGTATAAAGACCTAGACCAGGCCTTGGAGCCTCTGGAGTTTCTGTGAACGGAGTTGTTAGTGGAGAGGGCAGAGATCCCTGTTCCTTAAGAGTAACCAGGGGCTCAGTCTATGGCATAGTGTTTCTTTATTATCTACACTAAGACGGTAGCCAGAGAGAGCAGGGAGTAGAATTATTTGTACATTTTTCAGTTACATGTGCTTTTTATATTTCCTCCTTACCATGAAAATAGAAAATTGTGTTTATATCCAGCATAGCAAGTAAAGTATTTTGATATAACTCCATCACTATAGCCAATCATCATCAGAATCCTGGAATACAAATAATCTGATGCTAAGATATGTAATAATACCTTGCATGCTTTCACACATGCATCTTTTCATTTTATTTACAGAGATGTATCAGAGGGCTTGGTCTATAGCAGGGTATTGAAACTGGTAGCCAGAATTTTTAATCTTCGAGGATTCTTCTCTTGTATTCACCATCTCTTTATTTATCTTTGTCTTTAATTTTTTATGTCAAAATTTATCCAGTATTTCTTTCTATGTACCTGGAATAGAAAGGGCTTCTTCCATCAGAATTCAGACTAATATTTTTAGGCATGTGCAATGTATTGTAAATGTTTGAAAGCCTTTAAATGGGGAATGTATGTTCTACTTTGTCACAAAGCCCATTACCCTGTCTTCATACTGACCTGATAGACTCATTCACATCACCTAGCACATACTTTGATTTGAATTTTAGATCCCAATCTACAAAGATAGACAAATATTATTTTCTGAAAATTCAATTAGTCATTTGAAAATTGGGTCCTTTTAATGTGTAAGTATATATGTAACAAATATATATATAATACACACACGCACACACACGCTTATAGCTGAGCTGCATCCTGGATGTGTGTAGCATTAGGAGTTTCTCCATTGGTCCAAAATACCTGCCTATAAAATGATAGCAATATTGGGATTGGTGATGTCTACTGCATACTCTTGCCTTATAGTGTAAGAAAGGTGATGTGGGCATAATCACAAGTATCAAGTGTCCCTGGGTTTTAGAACACACCAACTGGAGAGGACAAATATTCTTGAGGTATTGCAGGGCTGTCTTTTTAGGGAATATCTACGCTCTTTATTAACCTGGGTTGGCAATATCAGCACCAAAAATCTTCCTTTAAAAACCGACTGGAAAGTACTTTTGCAAAATAATTTTGTGAGTCTATCCTAATATCTTAGGTAGTCTGGTTCCTTCCTTCTGACCCAATGAAAGTATGAAGAGACTGAGTTTGTCACCAGGAAAAAAGTGCCAGTGGATTTTAGGTGGTAGAAAGTGGTTATTTCCCTGACCCACTTTAAGGTCATCTTGTTTTAAACTATTTAAAGCCGTGATTCTCTCAATATCAAGGAGTTTCAGAATCACCTGAGAGGCTTACAGCTTTTCAGTCGATAGCCGTTCTTCCCTCTTCCTCCCACCGTTTCCCTTTTACAGGCTTCTGAGTGTTCATTGTCTGCCTCCCTCCTCCCATACTGCCTGGACCAGGAATCACTGAGCTAAGGTGTTAAAGCTTGGCCGGTTACATTGCCCAGTGATTTGACATAACTTTGATTGCCAGCAAACATTATGCATATTTTTAGTACAAAATGTTTAAATTATTGCACATTCCTATATATTTCACAAAAAGTTTCAACAGTTCACATTAGTGATTATTTTTCCCTAGCAGTATTATAAAACTAAATTATCATCCATATGATATCTTACTGTAAACTTGAGTTTTTAATCGGTCAACCAAGTAATTAATCATTGTATGGGATTTTAGCCATAAAGTGTCTACATCACTAAGAAACAGTGTACCCCCTTGCTGAATATTCAGAGATCCAAAAGGAAAGGTTAACTTCTTTTGACTATTGAGTTTGAGGCTTCCCTTGCTTTCAAGAATCTTTTAATTATTGCAAGTGATTGGTGCTGAATTATTCTCAAATAATGTTCTTGTGGTGAGACAGGATTCCTAGCCTCACAAATTAGAATTGTTTTTTTCTCTAGTCCTTCTGACAGTCATATTCTTATACCTCTTCAAATATTTCCAAAGATTAAATGTGATGAATAGTGATGTACATATTTGCAATTAAAATCTTTGCACAGCACTCCAATTGATTTCCAATTGAACTAGTGATAAACCACATCTTCTCTGTGTATGTATAACCTCCACATTCTCCTACGGACCAGTGTACTGAAGGTTTGTTTGCTATTCAAAATGGAAAGACAATCAACAGGAAATAAAAGCTTAACAAAGAACATTCCAGCTAGTGCTGATACTCTGAAGATAATTCTAGAATGCTCTGGGGAAGGGGTTAGGTCCAGTAACATGTATGTCGTTTGGAGAAGCTCTCCAGGATCCAGATATTTAAAAATCAATGGAAAGAGAAATTAATTATTTATTAATTTATTTAATTTATTAAACCATTTATTAATTTATCAAACAACTACTGTGCTAAGTGATTTATATAGGGTTTCATTTCATCCTCTTAAGAGTTAACAAATTTTGTGGGGCTCCTGGCTGTCTCAGTTGGAAGACTACATGACTCTTGATTTGGGGCTATGAGTTTGAGCCCCACATTGGGTGTAGAGATTACTAAAAAAATAAACTTAAAAAATTTTAAAGAGTTGCTTGCCTATTTTGCAACTGGGTAAGAGGGTACGAGGACCAATTTATAAATGAGAAGAATAGGCTCAGAGAGATTAAATAATTTACCCTGGGCCACACGGATAGCAAGGTTTTATTTGATTCTAATGTTCTTTTCAGTAGGCTGGTCTTAGAAAATCTTCCACTCAGTAGTTTATATCTAGGTAGTTTAATTGAGAGGTGAATGTGTATCTAAATTCAAAAAAGCACTAGAAATCAATATTATGTTTTCTGTTGTTATATTCAGTATCTTAATATGGCTGAAATTCTCTGATGAATGAAGTTTCCTGCTTGTGTGAAAGAGTATTGTACACTGGAATTGGAAAATAACAGTTTTTTTTGACAGTTTCTTTAGACATTTAAGTAGGCAGCAGAGAAGGCATAAATTAGCCATTTTGGAGTATGAAATTTTTAAGTTGTAGATTAAATAGTATATAACCGAGAAGTCCCTTAGGTAGGAAATACAGAATTTTTTACTTAGATAAGCAGCAGCGTTCATCAATTCAAATGATCAATTTACATCAATTTCAAAAGAAGCTAAAAAATCCATTCTTCTGTTTCACTGAATTATTTCCTAGGGCAAAGTGGGAAAATGCAATGAAAGGTACTGTTATTATTCCTGTTTTATAGACAAGGAAACTGAGGCGCAGAGCAGTTCAGGTATTTGCTCAGGTTCACACAACTGGTAGCAGAGCTGGAATTCAAACTCAGATGTCTGCCTACAGAGCCATTCTCCTAATCACTAGACAACACTACCTCTTTAATATTTGAAAAGATTAAGGGGCGCCTGGGTGGCTCAGTCGGTTAAAGCGTCTGTCTTCAGCTCAGGTCATGATCTCAGCGTCCTGGGATCGAGCCCTGCATCGGGCTCCCTGCTCAGCGGGGAGTCTGCTTCATCCTCTCCCTCTGTGCTCTCTCTCACTTTCGTTCTCTCTTAAAAAAAAAAAAAAAGATTAAATTTGTGGTCAGCAGACATTTGTGAATTTGTTTTGCTTATATGGTTTCTGGAATGACATTTGACTTCACCTCACATTTTCATTTTGATTATTTGAAAATCAGCTTGCACAGGCAACTTTGTTATAATTCTTATTATTTAAGGCTTATTAAGAACATGCTTCAGTGGGAAGCTAGATGGTCGTGTGACAGGCCCATATCTCAGTTCCCACGTGATTGGTTCTTCATGAACTCCCTCTCGTTTTCCATTAGAGTCCATTATCCTTGTAGAGATTGAGGTTGGAAGTTGGTTTTATAACACAAGGACTTACAACAGTTCTCAGGTTCTCTCTCCGTTGTTTGAAAACCCAACGGAAGCCAAGCTGAAAGGCTCTGAGACAGTTGTTCAGCAGAGCTTAGAATATTTTTTTATATAATAATCAGGCCATCAGTAACCATATATGCATTAATGAGCACATAATCTTTTAGGATTTAGAAAAATCTGTGCTCCTGCTACCAAGATTCCTGTTCCTGTATTGACTAGAACATAGATCTAGAACATAGACTGAATCCAAAGAAAAATAATAAAATAATAAAAAAGAATAAAAAAATAAAGTAATCCATAATGTAAAATAATAGTACCCTTTTTTCCTTAAGAAAGCTAAATAACATTTGTGTTTAACTTCTCAAAGCAGTGGTCACCACAGAACTGCTCTACCATGGTGAGACTGAAGAAAGAGAAACTTTTGAGGCTGTTGGTATTAATAAAAATTTTTTTAAGATTTTATTTTTTTATTATTTATTTGAGGGAGAGAGAGTGAGAGAGAGAGCATGAGAGGGGGGAGGGTAAGAGGGGGGAAGCCGACTCCCTGCCGAGCAGGGAGCCCAATGTGGGACTAGATCCTGGGATGCCAGGATCATGACCTGAGCCGAAGGCAGTCGCTTGACTGAGCCACCCAGGCATCCCTTATATTAATAAAATTTTTAAAAATCACTGATTTGAATTGATTTATCATGTGCTAGGCACTGAGCCAAGCACTTTATAAACATACCCTCATTTAATCCTTACTGTTTTTTATACCCATTTAACAAATTAACTCATGTTTGGGAAAGTTGAGCAGCTTGCTGAAGTTACACAGCTGGAATTAGACCCCAGGTCTGTGGGACTCCAGAGGCTGAATACCCCTATTTCCCATTTGAACATCTCTCATTGGGTACATTATTTAATAAGCTTCACATCATTATAGCACAGAATATCAGAGTTGCTGAACTATAGAATTCTCAAGCCTGACAGCTTACCGATGAGGAAACCGTGTTCAGGGAGGTTAAGACTCAAGTTCACACAGCTTGTCAAAGGCAGTCAGTCTTCCTCACTGTTCATTATTATCTTCTATTCTGAAATTGCTTGATTCACAGTCTTAGGAAAATCCTGGCCAGACAGACCTTTTCTAGGTAGGGATAAGAAGAAGAGAATAGGCTTTCTTTTCCAGGTCTGACCTCTCTGCTTTATCTTGGGCAAAGTCAGATACAGTTGGAATTATTTCATGCCCAGGATCCCTAGAAGCATGAACACAACTTCAGAAAAAAAGCTGCCTTTCTACTCTTTAATGACTAACCGGGGCTCTGTGGCTTGTCCTTTCCTTTGCCCACAAAATAATTATCATTCCAGAAAACAAAACAAAAAACACTGGAAAACTGGAGTGTGCAAAGCAGTGAAAGTTGCCTTGTACCCGAAGTTCAATTTCATGCCTTTTGTGGATTTTTTTTTTTTTTTTTTTTTGAGCATTTGGGGTGGCCCAGTGTCAGAGCTTATAATTAGACACTCACAGGGTGTGGCCAAAACTTCTGTAATCTCTGGCATGGATTTAGCTCACAGATGAGCCCTGGCTATTGTCGTGGTTGCCAGGCAACGTTTGGATGTTTATTTTGAGATTTGCCCACTCCTTGAATCAGAGGCCAAAACTTATGTGCTCTCCACTTCCCAGAGCAAAAAGAGCTTTCTATTTTTATCTTACGTCTGTGGGTCCCTTTTAATATATTTTGTGAATGTACAGTGTACTCAGTTGAGATGGATCCTCCTGTGTCCCGCAGATAGTGTTCAGATTGCCTCATTTTGCAGTACTTTCCTTCATTTCACCTACTGCACTCAAGACTATCTCTTCCCACCTCTGAGGCTTGCTCAGGCTGTTTTGCTTGCCTGGAATGACTGTCCTGTCTCAGCCTCCTTCTCTCTCTCTTTTTTTAAAATCCAAATATTTTAATTTTTGGAGAAAGGGGAGTCCACTTGTTATAACAAAATTCATGGGCATCGCTGTCATATCTGTGCTCAAATCCAAGCCCTACTTCGTAACTGTGAAACCTTAGATAAGTTACCTAATTTCTCTGAGCCTCAGTTTCCTCATTTATAAAATGCGGATAATAATGGTTACCTCCAAGGATTTTTTTGAAGATACCCTGAAATCAGATATGCAAAGCACCTGTCACATGGGAGATTCTGTAGTCCCTGCCTCCCTGTTGACGACACCACAGTAAATAGTTTCATCCTCTTCCGTGAAGCCTTTCCTAACCATCTTCCAAACACACGTCTCAGAAGTAGTCTCCCTCTTCTCATCTCTTGTAACATCATGTTGTACTTAAGATCCTATCACAACCTTATCTCGTATTATGTACGCGCTGGGGTGTAAGTTGGTGCCTTTAGTAGATCTCCTGGCACAAAGTAGATCTGCATGTTCTCCCCCAAAGAGATGGCTCTACTTCATTCCTAGATGATTCATTGTTTATGTTTCACTGGAATCATGTTTTGGGTTACGATTAAACACGTTCTTTGTTAGGTGACTGTATTGAAGGCCTCCTTAAGAACATCATTATTATACTAAATAATTAAAGGCATTGGAAGAATGTATGTCATGGTGTGACAGCATGGCAAACAATAGACAAACTTAAACCTTGGAATATTCACTTCCTGAAGTGAAAAATCGGTCATTACAGAAAGAAAAATGTAAACCTGGGTTCATAAATGGTATTTCCGAGGAATGTCCCTGCTTTCCTCAGAAAGCCCCTCTTCTGCTGCGCATTGTTTGTTCCAGATGTTGTACTGGAAGTGGTTTAGGGATGTTTTTGTGTATATATGTGCTTTTTAAAGTTGTACAACTCCCTTTTGAAGACAGCGGTGATGGAAATGACTAGGTGTTTAAATTATGTTTTCCTAACTTGTGCTTTGAATAAAATTTCTGACAAATGAGTAAAACTATGTAAGATTGCTTTTGAGCCATCAGATAACTACTCTTGTGTTTATTCATGCACAAATTCATAATTTATTTAACAAATACTTGTTAGGCAACTACTGTTGCCAGGCTCTGGGGACGTGCAGCAGCTGAGATAGGCATGGCCCCTGGCCTTGTGGAGTTCATGTTCAGGTCTGTCTTAAAAGTTCTACGAGGAAAGAACTTCTTTATAAAAAATCCATCATTTTCTTTCTTTCATTATTTGAGATTGTTATTAAATAAGAATCTTACTGTGGTTCAGTAACAAATGATTTGGTTTTCTCATGTGCATCTAGCAGAACTAGTTTTAAAAGTTAAAAATCATTTAATTTAGAAAAGGTTTAATATTTATTTTGTGTTTTGCCTAAATTGTCCTAATATTTGGTATCTAACTTGACCCTCACAATAACTCTGTAGGGTGCATGGT